GGGACTTTCGGGACCAAAGTTAACTAATCCCGGGATCCCGAGATCAGTCCCGAAAAAATATATATCGTTAATTTTAAAACCAATTTAAAATAAAGGAACAAACCAACCAAAGAACGATATCTTTCGGACTTTACCCTAGTTGAAGGAATGGTTTTCAAGAATTCATTGGCACATTGTACACACTTTTATTTCATTTCTTTTATCAATCGGGCCATGGTGAGTTCCATTGAAATTATCGAGTTTGTGACATTTTTTTAGGTATGTTATATTATAGGTTATGTACATGAATTTATTCTACAGTGACCTGTAATTTTACATTTTTTTTGCTAATTTTATGCTAAACGCCGCGTTTACAACGCTATAGATAAAACCAATATATTTTCATTATTTTACGGCAATGTATGAATGTATAATAATTTGACTTTTGAACTGCGTATAAAAATGAAGTATTTCTATATATTTTTATGAGTATTAATATAATATAATTTTTTTTCAAGCGTATGACAATTTTTATATTATAAATTATAATTATAATTTATAATATAAAAAATTATATTATATTCTTCGTAACTTATTACTAAAATCCCGGGATCAGCACTTTTGATCCCGGGATTTTTGGGATCGGATTTTTAGCGGGATCCCGGGACCCCGGGATTTTGGAATCCCGGGATTGACACCCCTAGTTTTGGTGGAAAGCTGTGCTGACGAGCTAGCAGCGAAGCGCGCCGCGTACTAATCAAGCGCACAGCGGGACTAAAAATTTAATATCTTCGGAATGACGTATGAAGGAAATTTTTTTTAGTACATTTTATTAAACGGGAACGTTTGTCGCATATTATGAAAGTTTCAAACTTGAAATATTTCATTTAGTTGAAAAAGTAAAATTTTTAAAAATTTCAAATGAAATTTTCAATCCGAAAATTTCAACATTGCCTGTGAAAGTTTCAGAAATTTCATTGAAAGTTTCGCAATTTACTGAAAATTTCGCATAAATTTTACATGCGGCCTCCCCTGGGACCTTTAATAGTAATTTACAACAGATTCCGAATCGACCAATAAGAACGAGATCAAGCGTCTGGGCGTTTTTGTTTAGTTCGGCTTGGATTTGAATACACTATAAGTAATTATTGTTACTTATATGCATAAATTAATTTAAATTATTTAATTCAGTTATCAATTTAATTTGTAAATTAAATCAGATTTTAAAATTTTTTTAAAAGTCATGATTAATTTAAACTTTACTTTTGCTATAATTGCACCGGAAAACGGATAAAAAATGCCTTTGGCTCATAAAATTTTGATTAAGTTTCTTCAATTTTCGTAAAATTTCAGTAAAATATTTAAAAATAATAAATATATACATAAATATATAATAATATGTATAAATATAAAACAATGAAAGTGGCACAATCTCATTAGCTTACCAAAAAGTGCTATATCTCTTTTAGTTTTAATAATTTTAAAAATATTTTAAAAGGAAATCTCATTAATTTGTGGTAAACATAGATATTTACTATTTATATTATTGGTGCAGGGGCCCACAGAGGGGTAGGAGGTAAGAGAGGCAATTTGCCATGGTCCCCGAGTGGGCTTATTTCAATATTAATATATTACACTTAAAGTGATTGAAATTTATTGAAAGTTTTAATAAATTTTATAAATTTCATGAAATTTCAGAAATTTAGGAAATTTTAATAAATTTCATAAATGTCATGAAAATTTCAAGTGAAATTTCAAGTACAAGCAAAAAGTGAAATTTTCCCAACCCTAATTATGACACAAGATTAATTATTTTTCAGCGTGAAGAACACATACAAAATTTAAATTGTTTATTATAAATGTATGCAAAAATTTTTATCAAACAAATTTACCTTAATTAAATGATCATTCGATAGTCTAAACATTGCTACAATAGTGTGTAAAATTTAATTTAATTATACAGAGTGGAGATTCTAATTTTTCAATTTTACCGTGCTCTAAAGTTTGACAAAATTAGTAACTTTAATAACATTACCAAAAAAACCGAATTTCTCAACAATTTTTTTACTGGGCATATGCGTCATGCCAATTACACAATATGCTTATTATTCTCAAAATCGGAAATCTCGTGAAATTTTCATGTATGTATGTATATACAATAATTTGATTATTTTCAAAATCGGTGATTTCGTACAATTTTCTGGTCCCACTTGACGTGGCTTGACTCACTTATTAAATTAATATTTGATAACTAGGTAGGTGGTTAAAAGTCCCTGGTGGCGGCGGCGGCGGCAACGCCCCCGCGAAAACCGACCCCGGGCGGTGGGTGGAGGCGGCCGATACATCGCGATGGCGTGGGCGCCTCGCTCGATTTGTTATTGGCTCGGCCGAATAGCGGGAATCTCGCCACGTAATTCACGAGACCTAGGTGTGCGTAAATATTTCAATTATGCAAATTTACCACCCGATTTACAACCCCTTTGCCAACCTGACTAACTAAGTAAAATCGCATGTGGTTGTGTATACATTTGCTATTCCTTGAAATTCAATTAATTCTCCGCCGAGAAAGTTCGTTCGGTTGTGGGCGACTCGCCTACTTTTTCATTGATCACAGCGACGGCGGCGGGGATGAATTTTGATGCGGGGGCGGCAAAATGAGGAGCGGAATTTGTCGCACGGGGTTCAGCCCTAATTTTACTCTATCTCTATATTAAACTTTTCCAGAACACTCCCTCTCTAATTTGTTGTTGTTGTTGATTGCATATTTATTAAAGCCTGATTATTCAAGATAATTTCCATTGAATGTGTACTATTTGTCGTATAAATATATATAAAAAAAATAAAAGCGGAAAGAGGGGGAATTTGTTTTGAGGCCGTTTCTTCCCGACCAGTTGGTCGCCGCCACAGATGACCCACATAAAACTATTGATGTTTTGAATTTCCCATTTTTAGCAAGTCGTCGGTCGCTCCCGACGACTTACTAAAACCTAATTTAATGTGCAAAGTTTATTGGCTTAAAAACAAATTGTTTTCGTAATCTTTTTTTAAATTTTAAATACTATAATTTTAAAAATTGATTTTTATAGGTCTTTTGTCATTTTTTAGAATAAAGTAAATTATTTTTTTTATTAAAAAAACAATAATTTTGCAATTTTAAATTAATCTTCATTTAAAATTAAGCTCATTAGGTGGCTTGATTTTTTTTGCTCTAAAACCATATACTTAACTTAAATATTGTGTTGTAAATTATTTTTCTAGGTTTTGTCTAAACTGTTTGATGAGCTAAAGGCCAGAAGTGTGTTATCTGTCATCAAGCAATACTTTGACAGGTGTTAAGATAACAGATAACACACTCCTGCCCTTTGGCGCATAAATCAGTTAAAAATCTCTAAAAACAATTTCCAGCGAAGCAAAAAAAATGAAGTTTTGTAATAAGCTTAATTTTATTTTTTTAGATGTATTTTTTGAATAAATTAAAAAATAATTTAAAATTTTTGAGATTTTTTTAATAAAAAAAAATATTTTGCTTTATTAAAAAGTATGAAAAAGGGCTAAAAATCAGTTTTTTAAATATTTAATTTAAAAAAATGTATACATGTATCCAGAAGTTTCGCACCACCTTGAGGCTGTATGATCTACGGACTCCCAGAAATCCCAGAAAATTGTTTAAAAAAATCTACCTCGTTTATTTTAAAAGATACACGGGATACACATTTTTTTAATGGCAACAATGCGTACTAGTAATAAATTGCTAAATTTATTCTTAATAATCATGACAACAAACAATATTAAAAGTCAAATTCGTTACTTTTAGTTAGAGGTTATTTATTTTACGTCAGAACAGGGAGTCACAGTCAGGAACTAATTAAACTAACTAAATTTACCTATACAGAAAAACTAAACAAATATTCACACACCACAGGCTAAATGACTTGCTTTTTTTAAGCATTCTTTAAACACAACATACATACTCAGTGACTATTACTCACTAAAAAAATACATATCAATATTTAACAGTAATGCTATGATAGAATCTAATTTTGAATTTTAACTGTAATCATTGTCTATTTTTTTATACTATATTATACTTGTTATGGACCTTTGGTCTTTTTGGGTAAATAAATAAATTAAAAAAGATAACAATCAATTAACCAAATAATTGTTGTGTTAATCAATTGTTGCACATCATGTTGCCAAACGCTTACATATTGTTTTAAGTTTGTCAAAGGAAAACTGTAAACTATGCACCCCTGTAAGTTGATAACCGAAGGTAATAAAGCTAAATACTTAATTGTACTTAATTTAGTAAAATTTGAAAAACATTGGGAAAGAGAAATTTTTCTCGGTGGTACACTTGGGCAATTTTGCCCCGTATATAAACTAAACTTTTACTAAAATACATTTATACATAGTGTAGTGTTAAATTTAACAAACTTTGCTAAAAACTGTCTTAGTAATGTAATTTTTTCAGATTTAAAATTATAACATTAATATAAATTATTATTACTATGTATAGCTATAAAATTGCAAATAATTTATTGCAATTATGCAAATTACAGCATACATTTTCAAATTAAATTTCCAATAAGAAATATGAGATATTTTTTAGTCGCTCTGTATAATTATTTTATACTATTATATTTAAAATAACTTTTTAATGTATAAATGGTTGTATATCAATATTTTACATCTGGTATTCTGAAAACGGACTATAAAGTGACGTCATACCTGCTTGACCGCGAAAGCAGTGATTTTCAAATTTTAAAAAATTTAAAATAATGTTATGTTATTTTTAACCTAAAGTTTATGTTTTTTTGTTAATTGTAATTGTAATAGTGCAATAGCATTTAAAATGTTCGATTAGCATATTTCGTTGAATTCGACCTACATCGCCTATCTGGGAACGCTCGTAGGTTGATTATTATACGTGTAGCTTACACTGTGTAAGCAGAAAAATTACTAACAAAAAATAACACGTGTTGTTCCTTTTTAACGTAAATTATTATTTTGTTTCATTTTAGATTTCCCGTCAATCCATCGACGCTTGTAAAGACTACTTTAGAGACGACCTGTTGAAAACCGACTGGCAATTGATGGTGGAACTTAAAAAACTCTTCCAAATTTTATAAACCAAGTCACTTAGTCAGTCAGTCAGCTATTTTATTTTAAATAGAAAACAACTATTTTTTTATCGATGATCAAAGAAGAGGAAGAAGAATGGTGTTTTTGCCGAAAATGTATGTAATTGAAAAATCCATCCGATTGATACTTTATTGTTTTTTCAACAACACCTGTCAAACTGCTTGATATGATTATATGATGTGTTAATGATGTTTTTTATTTTATTCTACAATATATTTTAATTTTTAAAACAGTTGTGGGTTTCTCTATATATAAATTAGGAAATAAATGTATATTTATATTTTAAAAATCGTAATAAATCTCTTTAAATGAACATTTTTGTCTGTTTTATATCTTGGTGTAGGCCTTTAAATGTTCATGAATACATGCATACTTAATATAATTCGAATTTAAATTTTGAACGCCCACCTTTTTTCGTTCGTCGAACCACTCGGGAATTCCCATTGTGTTTCAATCAATTTCTAAATAAAATCGTCTCTCTATTTTTGCATTTCTATCAAATAAATCCACTACGGAATAAAACAACAAATGATTGATACATTTTCATAAACAAGTTGTTTAACGTTGCCCGCCCTCGCAAAAGAAAGACGTGGATTTTTAAATTTTTATGGGCCAGACTTCCGCTGGCCATGCGAAGGCGGAATGTTTAATACATTTTGCCGTTTCCAATTCCCATTCCTTCTTGATATTTTGCCAAACAAATACTGTTTGGGTATAATAAATAGATTAAGGACTATTTATGAAGCTACATTGTAGCACCTAATCATGTGCTACAACGTAATGCTTAGAGTTAAACGGTGCTAAATCCATGAATGGTATTACGCGTCACAGTCGACCATCCTATGAATTGCTAATTTGGAATAAAATACCAGACCACAAACATGAAATAATGAGGTCACTTTTAATCTCTAATCTGTTCATCATCATCTAACAAATATTCTCGATATAAATTATAAATCTTATAATTGAATATCTTATAATTGACGAGCATAAAAAACGAGTGGAGAGTGGAATTTATTTGCGGCCGTGTGTGTATGTGTATTCATTTGACATTGGTTAGTTGCAAATTGTATCAATGAATAGTTTTGTTCGCGCATGTCACAATGCACCGTCGATCAATGGACCTATTCTTGTCTACTCCTCTCTCCTCAATGATTTTCAGTTTCATATTGTTTTACTTCCGGTGCTACGATTCTTTTCAATTCCATCCACTTCCTTTTCAACAACGTACAGTCAACATTTGAAGGTTTCTTAATTTCCTATTCTATCTCGAACCTCGAATAAATAGACTTGTTTAAGGATCTTCCCATCCGAACGAACAGGTTTAATAAAACAACCATTGATAATTTATTCTTCGCAATTAAAGTTTAATTATTAAACACATTTATATGCTAATAAATTATTGATTCATTAAAAAATAAAATATGCCAATTTAATGGCGTTTTATAATTTTATGTCTCGAAATAAAACTTTTATCGATTTTGTTTTTTTGAAAGGGTGTGCATGTTCAACATTTTTCTACTTGCAACCCGAAAGATTTATTACCGATTTTAGATTTTAAATACACGATGATAATCATACAGTTGCATTTGTTTTATTAATAATTATTATATCGCTTGCGTTACCTATTCCTATTACCTACTCTAAACTTGCGAATGATGATTCTCCACCGCACCTAGATACAGTAGTGTAGTGTAGTGTGCAGCATTCGCGGATTGGTTTGTTATTTTATACCATTGTTTTTAAAAACAATGTTTGTACCTACCTACTAAGATTTTCTATAGTAAAAATGGCAAAAGTCGGGTTAAATGAGTGGATCAGGGGGGCATTTTTGCAGTAAATATGTGGGGCTGTTGCCCATGTCAGAAAATCAGTAAAGTAAGAAGAGAAGAAAGGTGGTAACGGAAGGGAGCGGGAGCGAGGGAGCGGAATGAATGAATGAATACGATGGGTGGCGATGCTTTGCGAGCGGCTCGAGACCATCATCCCGGCAGGCCGTGCAAGAGAATCGAGGCGAGGTTGCGCGTGCGCGGTGGGGTTCATCTCAGAATGTCCATGGTTTTCATAACATTGAACGTCTCGTGGCGTATTTTTGCTTATTGCGGCCGTGTTTTCCTCTAAAATAGTGTTTGTTGTAATAGTGTTGGTGTTTTACGTGGGACACTTGCGTTTTCTGGTGCATTTCGGTAGAAAAATTGCGTGTTTTGGCCAATCCGAGGATTTCAGATCTGGAAGATATGGCTGCCTGCCTGCCGCCGTGTTGAAATAACAGCCGCAGCAGAGAGAGATATGCGCAACAGGGCAACTATACAAGAAACCTTGTTGCCGCCACTCGCCACTTATTCTCTTTTAATGTCAACAACATTAACAAAAAACTATTCGTGGTTAGGTTGTTACTTGTAGTTAATTCGCCGCCACCCGTGCCCGTACCGCCCCCGACTGTTTTATTACTAGTGCCGCCGCCCCCAAAGTGCCTACTACCACCCATACAAACTTCTTGTTGTGCTCCTTTTACTCTCAAACATAACCCTGCTCTATTGGAATAATAACCTGTCAATTTCAATCTCTACTACCTACACATTCTTGGACACATCAAGGTAAGGCATACTTATCATTAGGTATAATTAATATTTTCTAATTTGTCGTTTGTTTATTATTGCCATTGATAACTTGAAATAATTACCAAATTTATTGTTATTATTATAATTTTAGAATTTCCATGTATATTTTCGAATATAAGTGTACCCATACGTACCTATATGTCGACATGTTCATAGGTAAATATTGATGCGTCTTGTGTTAATTTTAATAATTTGCCAAATGCTTGTGCCAAAATACGTAAAAACAAGTCACAAGCCAAAATCACCTCAATCATTAATGACGTAGGTACTTTTTGAATTAAAACTAAATTGGCCTTTTTTCGTTTTTTATTTTTTTTTTAATTAATAACCACACAATATACCTACTTATTATAGCTATAATTTTATTTTCAACGAAAAGTTACGAAAATAACTGGGTACTTAAGTGTTTTTAAATCGACATTTCATAAATTCCTCTTTTTTTTCTAGTTTAAATAAATAAACAATAAATTAGAATATTCGAAATCTGGCGCCGAGACTTGTATGTAAAAATTTATTATGAATAAATTACCGCAATATAAACTTATATAGCAGAATTTTATAATATAATTTAAAAACCATCTGTCATGTCGGAACGTGGTGATTGTTTTTATTTTCAAAATATTTAAAATCTACCGGGTGTGTACAGAAACATTTAGTTTGAATTTTAGCGTAAATGTTAAAACGGTTTCTAACAAAACCATTAACATACTGGAATATCACATAATCAGACACCCACCTAAACTTAAACTCGTTGAATAAAGCTGTGGGTTTTAATGTAAATGCTAAATATGTAGGTATACTTTTTATTTGTTGGATCATAACTTTACAAGCCTACATCTGCAATAACTAAACATAGGTACCATTTTTTCAATCGAAATAACTACTTCTAAAGAGGATTTTTGTTAATGTAATGGGGGTTTATAAACATAAATGTGATTTAAGCAGCGACATTCCTTTAACGATATTAATGATGAACTTCTTGGTAAAGCGGAAGGGTTTTTTGTTTGTAAAAAAAGAAAGACGACGAAGAGTGTGTGTGTGTACGTGTGTAGATTTATTGAGATACCAGTTAGAATTACCGGGAAACAGTCCATTAGAAATATTAAGTAGGATGTCCGCCGCTCTATAACATACGCTGGAACAACTCTCTGGCTGCAAGCTTCTGCCCTTTTGCTTTAAACTGCCAACGTCCAAATGCAAAACCCATCCCATTTCCACATTATTTTTTGATCATATCAGAAATAAAACTGACTAGTCCAAACAATTTAGTAGGTATTTTATTTAAAAAAAATAGCTTCCCTACATTTCATTTTGGAAAGATTTTTTATGGTGTAGGAGTTAATAATTTATTTTGTGCTACTTAAGTTAGATTATAATTTCCCAAACTTCCTATTGAAAATAGCAAAACGGCCATTTCAAGCGGATGGACGGGACAAATCACAAAACTGTTTTTATAAAAAAAATTGTAGGTAATTTGTTATATATTATTTTTGCATCAAAATTGTCAAATATATTCTTCTATTATTAGGCTATACATTAAATAAAAAAAATCGCAAGAAATATTTTATAAAACCAGAGATAATTTCAATAATTGACAGGGGTGGACGGGACAATATAAATCTTTTTTTTGTCCCGTCCACACCTTTCAATTATTAAAATTATATCTACTTTCATAAAATATTTCTTGCGTTTTTTTTAATTTAATGTATAACCCAATAGAAGAAGAATATTTTTGACAATTTTGATGCCAAAATATTATATAATAAATAATCTACAATTTTTTTATAAAAACAGTTTTGTAATTCGTGCGTTTCGCGCGCTTGAAATGGCCGAAAACCTAAAATCCGCCCCTTTCTCTTTCTTTTCCCCAGGGTTGGAAAAAGTAATGACTTTTATAAAAAAGACAAAAAATCATACTTTTTAATTTATACCTTTTTTCTAATTAATTTAATATCAGTAATTTACAAAATACAAACTTTAAAATTATTGTTATTTAATTAAAATACTTAAAAAACTGCAAAATTAAAAATATTTCCTTTATTTAATTAAAATACGTTCTTTCCTAAATAGGTAAAATAAATTAAATAAAAAGTCTATTTTAAAGATAGTGTCATTTTTCATAATAATAAAGAACTCGAGAAAGAACTCTTTACTTACCGGAAAATATTTTAACTACGAATGCCTGGAGATTTTTAAAATTTAAGTGATTTACAGCACTTTACCACCAATCAGATCGAGTCATTTTTATTGATCTTGTTAAGGTTATTTTAAAAAAATTCCGAAAATAGTATTAAATTAAAATTCAATGTTAATTAAAATTAAAGGGCCAAAGCATACTTTTTTACCCTTTTCCCGATGCAATTAAATTAGAAATATAAGTTTGAATTAATTAATGACTTAAAAAAAGTAACTTGATTTAATTCACAAATTAAATCTCTGAATTAATTCATGCTTTCCCCCACATACTTTTTCTTTAATTTAATGGCCAATTTGTGTATTTTGGTCGTTTTTTTCAAATTTACCATTTTGCCAATAAAAAGTAAAATCTTAAATATAATTTCTATTAAAATTAAATCTTTTTCACAACATTTTATCTCCTACCGTTTCTTTGTAGTGCTACGAAAGAGTGGCAAATAGCGTCAGTAAAAAATGGAAGTATACGCCATATATATATATATATTAGGGTGTCC